CATTTACATGATGTAACCGAGAAAGAAATTGCGGAGGGCAGCAGTACGCCCTGGAAGCAAGGAGTCTGCCAAACCAACTGAGAAGAAGGCACCATGTGCACTGTTGCTGTGCGCAGTTTGTTGGAATAACAAACAATGAAATCAAAGGTCACGTCAAACTTGTCCAACACTTGGCAAACACATATGGTGAGCTCCCCGCCTGCCACCAGCCTCCAAGCAGTTATGCTCCCTAATTCACTTCTAGTTGTTTATTCATCTTTTCTTCATAGAGCTCCCAATCCGGTCCTTAAGTACCAGTTCAACACACCTCATAAAGTTCCTTCTACTCAAGTCTCTTCTGCTGTCTCTCTCCCAACACGCTCCAGCCCTCCTCCTCTAGCCGGTGGCTAACAGGCAGCTAGTGTTGTCCACTCCATCGCCACCCCTCTTCCTGCCTCACACCAGCCCTCCTCCATGTGTGGATCGGTGGTAGCTGTGTTCTTCAAGCAGCCTGACAGAACTTGCTTGTTTCCTTCAGAACATGTAGGTCGATATATCAGTCATATCAGTGAAAGCTGGAGGTTGTCGCCGCGTATTGCCTTTTTGATGTGTGGGCTACCGTAGATGCAATACTTACTCTGAATTGCATGCCGCTAAAGAGTCAAATGTTTTTCCAAACTGGATTTTGAAAAAGTTTTATTAATGTAAAAAAATCTGGATGAAATTGTTTTCATTAAATCAACTTTTTGTTACAGGTGTTACAGGGCTTTTGTGTGGAAATAACAGATCTAGTAAAACTGAAAGAAAAAGATAAATGAAGTTCTTGACACTGACACGTGCACACACATGCATGCACACACGCACGCACGCACACACACACACACACACACACACACACACACACACACACACACACACACACACACACACACACACACACACACACACACACACACACACACACACACACACACACACACACACACACACACACACACACACACACACACACACACACACACACACACACACACACACACACACACACACACACACACACACACACACACACACACACACACACACACATATATAAAGCAGGCAGTGAAAAAGATTAAAAAGGCCATGACTGTGTGTGTGCCTGCTTGCGTGTGCACACAAACTTTATTAGAATCACAGAAACTTCCAACAGCACGACAAAACTTCTGCAACTTTCACAGACATTCCGCTCCACAATTTAATGTCAAGTCTGAATAAACTGCGAGGAATTTCATTAAGGCTTGTAGTCTGTCAGGATTTCACACTTTGCTCGTGGCCTTTTGAAAGAACAGACCCACTGCTTCCCCAAAAGTATAAAGATTTTCACTCCACTTCCTTTAATCTGACTCCACTCCACTGGTGTGTCAGAATCAGAGGCTGCCAAGAAGAAATTAAGTGTGTCTGTGAAATGATGGTGCTGGAGAGAGCTGAGGTTTGAAGACATTTCAGGAAGCTTGAATTGGACTTAACAGTTAAACTCTTCAGTGTAATTAATCAAAATTATTCATAAATACCAGCCAGTGCTATGAAATGTCTTTATAGTGATTTTTTTTATCTTGCAGCTAAAAACAATAAATAAATCAAATAATTCTGCTTGGATCCATTAGATACATTTTCTTCTGTCGTCTCCTCTCTAGCGCATACAAGTGTGTGTGTGTGTGTGTGTGTGTGTGTGTGTGTGTGTGTGTGTGTGTGTGTGTGTATTTCACAGAGCAGGATGATGAGGTACATAGTGAATTATCTCACCTTTTTGTTTCCTTTTTGTCTATAACTTTGGCTTTTGTTTTTTCTAACTCTATTTGTGTTTTAAAATTGTGACAAAAAATCTACTGTGTTATGTTCTCACAATGATTTTAAAATGTACTGTTTAGTTGCTAAAATAATTACCATTTTATGTTTTCACTGGTTTTCTTGGAAATCTGTTCTTAAAACACACCACTGCGGCTCATCAGGAAAACACTGCCGCCAGACTGTGTGTCCTTTCAGTTACCTTTGGTGACATGGTGAGGCAAGAATATTACGCCAATTGTGTTGCCAATATTGATAGTATAATTACTGCAAAGCTGAACTTAAGTCACCCCCAAATCAACTTTTTAATGCTGATCTATCCATCCATTTTAGGGTGCTTATCTGGGGTCGGGCTGCGGGGGCAGTAGCCTAAGCACGGAGGCCCAGATGTCCCTCTCCCCAGTCCAAAAAATATATAAATCATATAAATGAGCGTGTAATCAATCATACCGTGGACATGTGTAGTCAGTAATTTGGCACTTTAGTGCATCTTGAGCCCCCTTCAGACAGGCCATGAAAAACGGAAATGTTTCTGTCTGAATACAAACATCCGGATAACGTGTTCCGGAATTTATCCGGACAAAGCCCCTAGTAACAGGTCCGGACTTGTTACGGACAGGGTGGCTGCTTCAGACTGGTGAGGTAAAGTTCCAGACAAGAGGGAGGGGGAGGAGGAGGGGACCGGGGGACGCCGTGCGCACCCAGATAGCCCGCTGCTGTAGCATGCGGCGAACCCATAAGCGAACCACGGCAGCTCGCCTCCTACAGTACCGTCTAGATGCGCGACGGAGCGCTTCACACCGCTTCAGTGATTCCTTTAACCATTGAGCTTCATCATCCAGGTCTCTTATGCGTCTTCGTGTGCGCAGAATTATGCTTAAGCGCCTCGTGATTTTTATCTTGAGAGGCGCTATAGAAATGATATTTTCTTCTCCTTCTTAACATAAGTCCGATTCCCCCCCACCCCACCCCACCCCCCGCCGCCGTCAGACATCTGGAACTTTTCCCTGCTGTGTGAACGCAGCCGAAAGGACAAGTTCCGGTACAAAAGTGGTGTGTCTGAAAACACAGTTCCGGTTAAAAACCGGATTGAATTGTCCGCAAATGTTCCAGAATGTCTATCTGAAAAGGGCTTTGGTTCCACTTTAAATATTTTACCTAAAACTGTCAGTGTTGCACCCTCTTCAGGTAAAAACTGTGCACTACATTTGAATTTAAATCTGCCATCGCGATTGGCTAAGATGTACCCTATGACATTAGCTGGTATCTAACTATGTCACAATGCCGCTGTGTGTGTATCTGTTTGTGGCTCCGCCCTCTTGGTCTGCCAGGCAACTTGTGGCAAACTTTTCAAACAGGAAATGGGAGAGGGGTTGCATTCTGGTAGGGGGGTGACTTGCTCTTTAAGAATGAATATCACACCTTCACACAGCTGAGTTGGATGCCATGATGATGCATTTCATTTCCATCAAAAACGTTTGTAATTTCTGACCAGAACCTCATGGCCTTTCTGTCCTCCAGATGCTTCTTACACCGGTGTCGCCTAGCTGCTGCAACATCCACAACCATCTTCTGTGGCATCTCTGACTTTCTTGCACTTCTTTCTCAAACCGTCACCAAACACTCGGCTCTCTCATCAACTTCATGTTCAAAATGAACTATTTCTTCATTTGACTGAGAAATACAAACGCTTATCCGACTAATTGGTTTGCCAGATCGCATAAAATAACAATGTTCACCATCTTGTTGTTTTACCACGGACTCTTCCAGTTTATACCCTGCATGTCGACAGGACAACCCCCACACCCTCTTTATCCAGCCATCATGTAATGGTTTGTGAAAAACGTGAGCGTTCCACATTGCCTACAGACTAACCACAGGAAGTACGAAGGTGCTCCAACACTATGATGCCGCTTATTTATTCATGCACATGTTTTAGGAGGATAGAAGCCACATGAGATGTGGGTCCTGCATAAAGTAAACATTCCAACCGAGTTCATTATGCCGATTACTTGCGTTTCTATGTAATGAACACTGTGGATTGCATCGAGATTATATTATTTATATGGACTCCGCATTTGCGGTCAATAGATCAATTTGATCTGCTGGTTAAAAAGTTACTTGTGGGGTGAAAAAGAAGGAAGCAGGCAGGAGTTTGTCTGGAGGACTGGGAGATGCAGGAAGATCAGAGACAGACAGGAAAATAAAAACCAACAAAACAAAGTTCTTAAAAAATAAAATGTATGTAGATTCATCCCACTACACGTTTGTACCTGTTTAAAGCAATACTTTATCAGCATGTAGTATTTATATAGTTGATACAATTCAGATCATCTTCAAAACTCCGTCCCATGCCCAGGGACGTATCTAAGCATTTTGGGGGCCGAGGTAAAATAGACCCCTGCCAGGTATTTTAAGTTGAAGTGCTATCTGTATTTTTATTAGACTTTTTATATTTGCAATAAAGTTCAAAAGTGAAGAATTTATGTTATTTATTGCTTGATTGTTCAAGCTACCTCACAGAAGTGATCTGTTGTTAAAAATTTGAATAAAAAGGTAATTAAATAAAAAAATAAGGAACATTCTGGAACTATTTCTTCCTTTTCTTATTTTTTTATGTATTAAAAGTATCGGGACTCGGTATCGGCAGATTCTCAAAATCAAATGACTCGGACTCGAGGGCAAAAAAACCTGATTGGGACATCCCTATTTATTTACTTATTTAATTTAAATTACACACAGTGAGTGTTCAGTTACCTTTCACAATCAATGTGCTGCATAGGTCGGCCTCTACTAGGCGCATCCCTAGTTGATGGATTGATGAAGCGATTTTTTTCAACGACTGACCTTAATTTCGACAGTTTAAATATAGAATGCAAAGAATAAATCTGGCTCAAACAAGTATTTAATTTGTCCAATAAATGCAGCTGTGAGGAATCCTAGAAAAACAATTTGAGAACATCATTTGGCGCTACATCCCCCGAGCTTTAGTCAGCACTACATCGACAAATCCTGTTGAAGTTTCAGACGTTCACACGGCGACGTCAGCTTTGCCGTGGCTGTTTCCATTCTCCAAAGACCACTTATGAATGACCAAAGACTCCCTGATGGCGCCTCTGCTTTTTTAAACAGGCTATGAAATGTGCTACACATGTAAAGCTGCCTTGCCTAACCGTTAAAAGTTGCACACTTACTGAGATATTCTTCCAGTACTAGCGCCTGAACTCGAGCCATCCTCCTTTCCCTCCTCAGAATGTCTTCTCCTTGGTAACTGGGCAGAAGGTGAAGGGTGTTTCCTACGAATCCTCCTGATAGAAGAGAAATAATTAGTAAAAAAAGAAACATTAAGGGCGGGGGGGGGGGGGGGGGGTGTACAAGTTTAAATGTACATAGATGAGCATATTTCAACCAATTACAGCAACTAAAAGTGAGAATTGATAGTGATATTTAAAAGTTTAATAACTGTTTATTTTTCTTATAGGCCAGAATCAGCAACACAAAACACAACTTTTCTCTAGTTTTTTACATATGTAACACATGACTGGCAAATGTAGCTTTACTCTAAGTCATCGGTTCCCAAACGTATTTAGCCGCGCACCCCCTTCTATGTCCCGGCCATGTCGACGCACCCCCTGTTACGGCTGGAGCCTTTTTGTGTTGTGATTTCATTTTTTTGTGCATTTTATGTTGCATCTGAGGAGCCTGCCTGCAGACTATGTTGGCTCACCCTTGCTCCTCCCTGCACCAGCTGAGCTGGGTTTTCATCAGCCGCAAATTGTTTAAAGGACCAGCTGGAGCTCCTCACCAATGGGGACAATAGTGCAGAGCTGCCTTTCCTCTGGTCTGTTGTCTCCCACTTAGAACTTCGATATTGTGCTCTTACTGTTTGAACCTGTTTTGGTAAAAGTGGATTTAGATCTGTGGTGGTTAAAAGAATAATAGTCATCTTTTCTGAATTAAGAGAAATTAAATAAAACCTTTGTTAATTTTCCTTTGTGTCACGCGTCCTCCATGTTACCCCAGGCCCCCTAGACACCTGGTTGTAACACCCCCCAGCCCCACATCAGGGCATGGCTATATTATATATATATATATATATATATATATATCAGACGTCAAGCTAAACAGACAGGGTTAAAAAATATGATCGACCTTTTTCCCCATCACTTTCATTTTTTAAATAGTAATTAATAAACATTCGATACCATTACAATTTCCTTTTGATTTAATTTTAAATAAATATTTAGAGTGCCCAGGTAGCACATAAATAATGCAATTTAACGGTTTTCTTAAAGTAGGAATGTTTAACCTGTGGCGCCAGCGCTCTTCTTCCTTCTGCTCTGCGTAAACCTGAACTGGTCACCTACTTGTGCGTAATCAAATGTCTATAGGGGAAAAGATGGAAAAGATATAGCCATGACGTTCACTTTTGCCTCAGACCGACTTATTGCTGTTTTATGGTGTGGCTGAATCTGCAAACCGCTGCCACGCAGACTGGAATAACAAATGCTGCAGTAGTTGTGGTCAGGTTCGGAGTCACTGGCTGGAGCGGACCCGACTTTAATACGTCATCCCAAAATAGAAACTAATATCTTAATTTGACCTTGAATGAAAAATGTTATAAAACCTCTTAAAAGTTTTTATCACAGAAGAGGCAGAGCTCATTTCTGTCTTCCGTCCGACGGCGCGCCGGAGTTTGCGCAGCTTGCGCGCTTATTGAATGTGTGTGTGTGTGTGTGCGCGCGTGCGCGCGACACAGCTCCATAGAGCTTGGTTTATGCTTGACGCATTCACTTTCCGCTTGGTGATGCGGCTCGCGGATGGAACGCGCTTCACAACTTGCAGCGTTTAAGTCACCGCGTCTCGTTCTTGGCGCTATTTAAACCAGTGTTGTAAAATTACTTCTGCCCAGCCCAGATGTGCTCACTTGTGCACCCGTGAGCCGTGGTTCCGCTGGAACGCGTCTGATCTCTGACAGATGCACTCTGAACTTCAGATCTTCAGCGCGCTGTTAATAGCCTGAATGGGAATCATTTCTTGATTTATTTAGTTACATCCACAATGTTCTGTGTGTGAGGTTTACAATGTCAGAACACCTGCATGAGACAGGTGTTAATTACAATCTGCCAGAATGACTCACCACCTTCAGATTCCTCCAACACCGTTAAAAATAAGAGTTGTTTTGTGTTCCAGATTGTTTCTGTTTCCAAACACAAAAGTGTCATCATTCAGACTTTATTCCTCTACAGCTGCAGCCCTCATTTGTGTATTTAAAGACTCATTCTAGTAAAACCTCCGCTGTGTCATGAGGCAGTTAGGGCACCTTTACTCCAAAGCAAAGAAAAATGTCTCCTCAAGGTTGCATAAAATGTTAAACAACAACAGGAACTCTCCGAAGGAAACTTCACTGCAGGTCTCGAATCTCATATTAGACAAGGAACGATCAAGGACTTTTCTGTAGAAGAGAAACTTAGCTTCACTTTTAGCTAAGAGAATGAAAACCTGAGGAACGCAGGGAAGAAAGAGCACCACATACAAGGAGGAGCATGTGGCTTTATTAAATATTTATATCAGTGGGGTTCTGATGGCCAGCAGCCCTGAGGAGCATCCACTTCTGCTACAGGACGAGAAGAGACGACTTCGGTGAACAAAACCATTGGGCGTCTGACCCATTCACACTTTGAACTGCTTTCCTTTACAGTAATGTAGATAAAAAATGACTTCTAGGCATTTGAAGTTACACGGATAAAATGCTCTGAGTCCAAACGCAACCGAGGTTTTCAAATTACGAAGCATCCCTGAAGCTTTGCAGACCTAAGGTAGAGGAACCGAGAGGCTGAATGTAGTTTAAGAAGAGCTGACGTGTGCATGTGAAATCAGCTTGGAGTGGTCAGCTGCAGGATGGAGAGTTCGATTATCAGCCCTGCCACATGCTGAAGTGTCATCGGGCAAGACACCAAACCCTTTAATTGTGTGAGTGAGAGCGTTTCTAGAGAGGATAAGTGCTGCAAATGTAGAGCTCAATTATATAATAGAAAGTGTGAGTGAATGACTGAACGAGGAACACGTTTTAAAGAGCACTGGAGAATTAGATATGGTTAAAAAGGTGTTACGTAAGCGTGGACCGTTAGCTCATTGTGGTGAAAATGAATTAAACCGGCGCAGTCTTTTTTTGCCTCAACACCCCTGGGACCCATCTTTAGTAGTTTTGCAAACAGGGACTACTAAATCCTATTTAAGTTGATCACAAATCAAACATAAAAGCAAGTGCAGACAGCTATCGCCAATGTTCCACCCAAAATCAGGCTGTGAAGGAAAACAACAGCCCCTACACCAGCAAGACAGCAGAGATAAACACAAAAATACCTGATGAGAGAGGCTTCTTGCTCAGCAAGTCAGAGACGGTTGCCATAGCAGCTGCTCCATTAAGTTGACCGTAAGAGTGCATCATCCTGACCCTGCAGGCTTCAGAACCGGCATCATCAGAGCCCTGGACCAACAGGAAGTAGACTGCACTCTCACCTTTCACATCGACATCTGGCACTACAGGAAAAGGCAGCAAAGTGGGAAATTTCATAAAGAACGCCTCTGGTGGAGAACTTTCTCATCATTGATGAAATTATCCACCGCTGTCGGGAAGCTTCTCAATCATTCCTATTTGTTAAATTTGGACATTTAAACGTACAACATACCTAAAACAAAAGTTTATAATCATCTGTCACATTTTACTGTTTTTTATTCATTCTCAACAAAATGCATCAATTATTCAGTGTATTTGTTGATGTGTCACATCTCTGTTGCTTCACAAGGGCAAAAGCCTGAAAAGACAAACCAAGAATGGACTTTGGTCTCCTGGACAAAGTCTCTTTCCAGCGTTGGGAGCTTAGTTGGCTGCATGCAGGCTGGGCGATGGGAGTGACTATACAGGACAGGCTGAACAAAGCTCCAACCTGGAGACGCATGAAAAAGCCTCATTTCATTTATTCACACTTACCGGGGGTGTATGAAGTGTGTAAGAGCACAACAGTGAGCTGTACCTTTCCACGCAGCGACCTCAGCTGGTCCAAGAGAAGTTTAGCCTTGTTGGACTTCCCAGACAGGTCTCTTTTGTTAATTGTAAAGGAACAATATCATATCATGTATGTGCACATGTCTAATTCTGTTTCAGTGAATTATTATAACAAGTCAGTGAGCTCACACGAAACATTAAACAAAAAGTGTACAAATTACTTTAAAGGGGCCATACACTGAAAAAAGAGAACAGTTTAATCAACCTAATTGAATTGCTTCAATTGGTAACAAGCAATTTAATTAAGTTTATCCAACCTACATTATTAAAATTGTACTAATAATTTAAGTTGGATAAACTTAATTAAATTGCTTGTTACCAATTGAAGCAATTTTTCAAGATGGATCAACTTTTTCTTTTTACAGTGTATGATGGAAAAATACACTTTTTAGAGCTTTTTAGCTAAATATTGCTGTTTCGTCATGAATAATACCCTCAAACCTGTTTTTAGCAGCATTCGTGCTTTTTCCTGTCTCAGCTGCAAAGTTTTTATTTTATTTTGAAATCTCTGAAACAGCCTGCATTAACTTTTTTAATGCATAAGTTGTACGTCAGGCCTTGCTCCTCCCCAGAAGCTAGCCTCTGGTCTGAAACCTGTCTCCCCTGGCCAGCTCAGGCTACGTGGCTTAGGTGACTAGTGTCATGTAACAGACTTGGTAGTCTAGTGTTGTGTGTAGGTTCCCATCCCGGTCTCAGACGTAACTTTTTCTTCTTTTTTTTTTCAATCTTTTAGTGGTACACTGTTTAAAATCTTTATTTTATTTATTTATTTAGGACAGTGAACATTAATGAACAAAAACATACCTTTGTACAGACTGTAAATGAGCCAGATTATAGCATAACTGCTCACTTTCCTCTGTAGTCCATAATCCACAAAATATAAGGACTAATAAACAGACAGAGAATATACTAATACATATAATCTGTATACTAATATACGGACAGAGAATTCTGTTGTTGTGTCCTTGGGCAAGAGACTTAACCCACCTTGCCTGCTGCGGGTGGTCGGAGGGACAGGTGGCGCCTGCTCGGCAGCCTCACCTCCGTCGGTGTGCCCCAGGGCAGCTGTGGCTACAAAATAGCTCATCACTACCAGGGTATGAATGTGTGTGAGAATGGATTAATGATCACTGTAGTGTAAAGCACTTTGGAGTCCTCTGACTCTGAAAGGCGCTAGCTATACAGGCGCAGGTCATTCATCATTTAATAAGGTGTTTTTTTGCATTGTTTGTTTATTAAGCCAGTGTGAGACCATGTAAGGGGAGTAAGGGTGGGACAAAATACAGACTTGGCAAACTATTGTGATATTTAGACTCACGAACGTGTACCAGTATGCGCTTTCCCCATTTCAGTTTTTTAACCACTACCACAGATTTCCATTAGGGGGCGCTCATCATGAGAATGAACTAAAACATTTGTGATATCGTACCACGAGACATGCAACACGAATCGTATCGTGAGATACCCTGAGGTTCCTAGCCGTAGCGGTGAGCAGAGAAAATCAGCTAAAAAGCTGCTTGGAAATGACCAAATTCAAAGATCTTTAGAGACACAAAATATTTTGCAGAAAATAATCAATAAAACTAAAAATACAAAAACATGAAATGTGCTTCAGCTGGCTAAATAAATTAGTGACGACACCACCGAGAGCGGAACCCACATCAGCACATGGTAAAAATGAGTTTACCACTGGACTACTATAACCTAAAAAGTAGCTAACTCACCCAAGACGCCGTTGTAGGCACTTTTTGTTGGAGCGGGCGTGGGAGGAGTTTATTAAACAAAGCATTTTGTTTTCGCTTCTAAATTCAGGCTGATGAAAATCATTTGTTTTTATCGAAGGTTTAAAATAGAATCATCTGGAACATTTCAAGACCTTAAACTAAAATAGGTCCTTTGAGCTTTTGGTTTTTCTTAAATACACAAAAATGAAAGATAATGGCTGTTCTAATAAAAGTATTAGAATTCATTGATGGGATGCACAACATGTGGTCAAATCTTAAAAACAACATGAGGAATTTTATTAGGACTTAGATCTTGTGAATGAAGCTGAAACGTGTAAACCCTTACCTTGATTCAAGTCCTGATTATAACAAAATGTTTAAACAAAACTATTAAAATAAAAGATGGTGTTTGAAGTGTTAACATGACTTCAAGATAGAGTAAGTTCTCCATTTTAAGCAAAAACACTGGATGAGGATACAGCTCAAACTGAGAGCTGGACATCAGAAAGCTGGGCAGGTCTGACAGATCAACCAGCTGGACCAAGTCTAAAAGCAGAGCGTAGTAATGGAAGACCTGCAAAACCAGAACAGAACACACAAGAAAGGAGAATCAACAAAACGCGGTCTGTCTGTCTGTCTGTCTGTCTGTCTGTCTGTCTGTCTGTCTGTCTGTCTGTCTGTCTGTCTGTCTGTCTGTCTGTCTGTCTGTCTGTCTGTCTGTCTGTCTGTCTGTCTGTCTGTCTGTCTGTCTGTCTGTCTGTCTGTCTGTCTGTCTGTCTGTCTGTCTGTCTGTCTGTCTGTCTGTCTGTCTGTCTGTCTGTCTGTCTGTCTGTCTGTCTGTCTGTCTGTCTGTCTGTCTGTCTGTCTGTCTGTCTGTCTGTCTGTCTGTCTGTCTGTCTGTCTGTCTGTCTGTCTGTCTGTCTGTCTGTCTGTCTGTCTGTCTGTCTGTCTGTCTGTCTGTCTGTCTGTCTGTCTGTCTGTCTGTCTGTCTGTCTGTCTGTCTGTCTGTCTGTCTGTCTGTCTGTCTGTCTGTCTGTCTGTCTGTCTGTCTGTCTGTCTGTCTGTCTGTCTGTCTGTCTGTCTGTCTGTCTGTCTGTCTGTCTGTCTGTCTGTCTGTCTGTCTGTCTGTCTGTCTGTCTGTCTGTCTGTCTGTCTGTCTGTCTGTCTGTCTGTCTGTCTGTCTGTCTGTCTGTCTGTCTGTCTGTCTGTCTGTCTGTCTGTCTGTCTGTCTGTCTGTAAATGTACCTGTATATTAAATGTTTTGAGTAAACGCTGTTCACCTGAATGTGTGTGTGAATGGGTGAATTACTGATTGTGTTGTAAAGCGCCTTGGAGGGTCCCAGGACTCTAGAAGGTGCTTTATCAAATACAGGCAATTTACCATTTACAAACTTATTGTATGACTGCATGCATGTGATTTGTAATAAGAATGTTTTTAGTGTCATCATGTCTTGAAACTGTTCATTCTTCTCTATAAAAAAAGAAATAATAAAAAATTAAAAATCACCATCTGCTGAAAATGCATTGGAAGGTGGATCAGTCTACGTTCCCACCCCCATATATGGTCACGAGCATTGGGTAGTAGGGCTACGACTATTTTAATAGTCGATTAGTCACCGACTATTGAAACGATTAGTCGACTAATCGGATAATTAAGAAAAATTTCTTAAGTTTAAAGATTGCTTTAATTCTGTGAATAATTATAATAAACACGAGAAAGATGGGTACTTAAATGGAAAATGCATATTTTATTGAACTTTGCTGCTGATAGGCCAATTCATACTAAAAGTAAATAAAATGCCCTGTCTAACACCAATTACGCACAGTGCCCAGTCAGAATAGACATAAATGCAAAAATAAAATTAAAATACTTTTGTCAGGCACAGTCGGGCGTAACATTAAATCTCTCTTTTTGAAAAGTGAAAATACGTTTAAAAACGTACATCCAAAAGAAAACGTATCGGCTTTTGTGTTATTTAAATCTTACTGAGGTGAATCAGACTCCGTTTCATACAAATATCCGACGTGCTTTCTCGTTAAGTGTTCATGCATCACCGAGGTGCTGCCGTGATACACATGGACTGCTTTGCAAATAATGCAGGTAATCTTTTTATTCGCCAAATCCAGGCTAGAATGCTCCCAAACTTTTGATGTTTTGGTACGCATTGCTGCTGTGTTGGACGCTGCCATTTCTGTCAGTTGGCGCTCAGCAGAGAAGCTATTGCGCATGTGCAACTCTCGGCAGAGATTGTAATGAAGTGAAATGCCTCACTCGGTCGGAAAAAACACGTCTGGCGACAACGTCAACAACGAAATTCATTGTCGACTATTTCTATTGTCGATATTTGTCGACAACATCGACGAATCGTTGCAGCCCTATTGGGTGGTGACCAAAAGAACGAGTTTTCTCTGCAGGGTTGCTGGCACTCCTTTTGAGATAAGATGAGAAGCTTGGTCATCCGGGAGTGGCTTGGAGTAGACCCGCTGCACCTCCACATCAAGAGGACCCAGTTGAGGTGGCTCGAGCATCTGGTTAGCAGGGATGGGAATTATGCCATCAACAAGTCAACTCCATGCCGTGATTTTGTTCTGCTCAGCAACTGAACAAGGTGCATTCACTGTGCTGATGAAAATCACCTGGTTTAGTTGCTGAACTGAAGAAAAACACGGCATGAAGAGGACGTGTTGATGCCACAATTCCCCATCTCCGCTGGTTAGGATGCCTCCATGTTGAAGTTTTTAAGACACATCCAAATGGGAGGAGACCTAAAGGTAGACCCAGGACACACTGAAGGATCTATGTATCTCAGCTGGCCAGGGAACACCTTAGGATTTCTCCTGGCAGTGTTGGCCTAAAGCCTGATTTATGCTTCTCCGTCTACGTCAGTGCGGAGACACGCAACGTCCTTGCGTAGGGCTCCGGCAGGCACGCAAGTACGTACGGAGTCGAGCCCACTTTTTTAAACATCCGTCGAACGAGACGGATTACGCAAGCTTGTGATTGGTCAGGACGCCTCTGTTGTTTACAGCGCCGCCATTGCAAAGAGAGCCGAGGATAACTAGTGGCAGACACGGAGAAGCTTGAAGAATACCTCGCGAAAAAACTCTAAAAATATGAACGTTTCATCCTCCCGTGACTGGAGGAATGAAAAGATGCGCAGCAAGCGTTTTATTTGTGGACGGAAATGACAGGAAACGTGGGTTTAGAGGTGGGGAGCGCATGAGAGAAATATGTCCGTGTTAAAAGTCTCTTATATACACAAAAAACACATATATAAACACACTATCTTGGACCGATACATGGCAGGATGCCACAGAACAGCGCTACGCCCTCTGTTGTGCTGCCGGGCAATTGCTTTGCAACACTCCCCAGGAGACAGAGAAGTAAAAGAGCAAAACGCTTCCGTCAATCCGTGCGTGTCTGTCCCTTGCGGAGCTGACGGAGAAGCATAAACCAGGCTTAAGTGGCTGGGAGAGGAAAGCCAGGTTTTCTAAGGGCTGCTGGCCTAGCGACCTGACTACGGATAAGCAGAAGATGATTGATGGATAGATGGACTGATTTACATGTTCTTTTAGGTGTTTGAGGTTTCTCTGGTGCTTTTTTAAAACAAAAGTTATCTGCAGTCATTTATCCCAGCAGGTGTTGAGATGTGATAGTTGGTTGTCGTCAGTGTGTTGTTGTTTTTTTCCTTCATTTTATGCCAAAACAATCATTGCCATCTGCTTCTCTGTACAGGAGTCTGATGAGATCACACACAGTTCCCGTCTCGTTCTCCGTGGACAAGCAAATGAGTCGAAACACAAACACACACCTGAATGACAGAGCAGTTTTAACTCATTAATGAGCATGCATTCAGGCTCACGCACAGAGAGAGAGCACAAACACATAAAGCAGACAATAAAAAAGATAAACTATACACGTGGGGCAATTTAAAATTCAGTATTATGGTTATTAATGTCTAAAGAGCGATAATTCCTTTCATGCCTTTAATGTCAGAAATCCAACAAACTGTGTTTGTTGCTCATCTCATAAATCTGAGTGAAGACCGTCTGTGTGTGTTATTGTGCAGCACACATGAGCCTGTAAATCCTCCTGTGAGGTTTTAATTCTGTGCTTAATAATCTACATAAGAAAAGCCATTACTGAACCACAATAGGTCATTTAATAAACCTGTTAAATGACAGGCAAAAACAATGCTGTACACAAAACATTAAAATAATCGATTAGACAGAGCCAATCACTTCTATTTCTTTTGTGAAGGCAGCTACACTGAATCATATTGGCAGGATCTGAAGAATTGTATGGAGAAGATTCTGAAGGTGGAAGTTCCGTTTGCATTAAATTTCCTGTACATAAGAAGAGGGAACAAAATATTAAAGAGTTCAGGAGACAAATACAGGTGCTTCTAAAAAAATGTGCATATTGTGATAAAGTTCATTATTGTCTGTAATGCACTGATAAACATTAGACTTTCATATATATTAGATTCATTACACACAACTGAAGTAGTTCAAGCCTTTTATTGTTTCTAATATTGATGATTTTGGCATACAGCTCATGAAAACCCAAAATTTCGATCTCTAAAAATTAGCATATCATGAAAATGTTCTCTAAACGAGCTATTAACCTAATCATCTGAATCAACTAATTAACTCTAAACACCTGCAAAAGATTCCTGAGGCTTTTAAAAACTTCCAGCCTGGTTCATTACTCAAAACTGCAATCATGGGTAAGACTGCTGACCTGACTGCTGTCCAGAAGGCCATCATTGACACCCTCAAGCAAGAGGGTAAGACACAGAAAGAAATTTCTGAATGAACAGGCTGTTCCCAGAGTGCTGTATCAAGGCACCTCAGTGGGAAGTCTGTGGGAAGGAAAAAGTGTGGCAGAAAACGCTGCACAACGAGAAGAGGTGACCGGGCCCTGAGGAAGATTGTGGAGAAGGACCGATTCCAGACCTTGGGGGACCTGCGGAAGTAGTGGACTGAGTCTGGAGTAGAAACATCCAGAGCCACCGTGTACAGGCGTGTGCAGGAAATGGGCTACAGGTGCTGCATTCCACAGGTCAAGCCACTTTTGAACCAGAAACAGCGGCAGAAGCGCCTGACCTGGTCTACAGAGAAGCAGCACTGGACTGTTGCTCAGTGGTCCAAAGTACTTTTTTAGGATGAAAGCAAATTTTGCATGTCATTCAGAAATCAAGGTGCCAGAGTCTGGAGGAAGACTGGGCAGAGGGAAATGTCAAAATGCCTGAAGTCCAGTGTCAAGTACCCACAGTCGGTGATGGTCTGGGGTGCCATGTCAGCTGCTGGTGTTGGTCCACTGTGTTTTATCAAGGGCAGGGTCAGTGCAGCTAGCTATCAGGAGATTTCTGAGCACTTCAAGATTTCATTTTTCAGTACGACCTGGCACCTGCTCACAGTGCCAAAACCACTGCTAAATGGTTTACTGACCATGGTATTACTGTGCTCAACTGGCCTGCCAGCTCTCCTGACCTGAACCCCGTACAGAATCTGTGGGATATTGTGAAGAGAAAGTTGAGAGACGCAAGACCCAACACTCTGGATGAGCTT